GTTCTTTTTAATTTGTTTGTCTAATTTCGTCTTATTTTCTTTTTTTTTTCCAATCCCCCCTCTTCTCCGAATCAGATCGATGATCCAAGAAAGAGGGCTAAATGAAAAAAATAATTATACGACGATAATTAGAAAGGAGGATGACTTTGAGTTCAAAAATAACTAAAACAATAGTTTGCCAATGACTGTGTACCCTGATAACAATGGTGACTAGATGATAGTGATTTGATAATGACAATAGTGTACCATAAGTGTAGCAGTGGTCTGGTGAAGGTCGTCCAACATAACAATTGTTCGACGACAGTGATCTTGCATATCTATGATCGAGAGATGGTGATATGTCGATGGTGTTGGTGGTCCAAAAATAGTAGCTTGACGACAACGATGATGGTCAGACAATGGTGATCTGAAGGTGATAGTGGTGTCTTAGTATTGATCAAGTGATAGTGGTCTTGGGGTCAGCCTGATAATGAAGTTGGTGGTTTGATGTCGGGCGTTAGGATCTATGATCAAGAAATGGTGATCTGAAAATGGTATTGGTGGCCCAACGATTGCAGCCTAACAACGATGACGATGGTCGGACGGTGGTGATCAAATAGTGACAATAGTGGCTTGGTTTTGGTCGGGTGATGGTGGTCCTGTGTCGAGGCAACCTGGCAATGAAGTCAATGGTCTGATGTTGGGCGTTAGGATAATGATAGTATGATGAGAATGACAACAATGGTCTGACAATGGTGATGAAGGCTTTGCATTGCCCGAGTGACGGTTGGTGGCAACACTTCGATGACAGTGGTTCAACACAATAGAGTTGCCCAATGTCCAATGAGGGGACGATGGCTCGGCAACAATTATGTGATAATTTTCTAGTGGCGAGAACAACCCGGCGATTGTAGTATGTCACACAACGATGCCCCGATATCATCTGACATCCGCTGGATTAGCATGGCCTGACAGTGGGAGCAATTTGCTACGGTGTTATGATGGTGAGATGGTGGCTAGGAGTCGGTCGACAGATTATGGTACGACGATGACGGTGGTTCGACAGTGGCAATGATAGCTTTGTGTTGGTCGGGTGAAGATGATATGGTGGCTCCAACCCGATGATGGTGATCTGACATAATGGCGATGAACTAATATCAATGGTCCGTCTTGGCGGTCGTGGCTCGATGTCTGTTGGGTGATAATTGTCTAATGGCATCGACAGCCCAATGACAAGGGTTCGACACAATGACAATGGCCTAATTGGGTGATGGCATTGCATCAGCCAATGATGCTGGCCTGGTTGCGATGAACCACAACTAAGATCTAGTAATTGTGGAGCTCGAGAATTCTCAAATGCTCCTAGTCAAACCCCAATTTATGAAAAAAGTTGGATTCTATTTATAAATTTTTGAAATGATATTATCAGTAAATATTGCATGAATTTGAATCATTCTATCAAATGCTCAAACGTAATTCTCATGGCATGTCTTAAGCAATCTTAAACTTGTTGGATTCATTTCAAAATTATTTGATCCCCAAAATTTTTTCCAAACTTTCTTTTTATAATTTAAGTACATGAATTATAAAGCCATCATTGCCTTCAAAGCTCTTGAAATCTTAATATCATTCTCTTAAAACTAGCTAAAAATGTTGAATAATTCTACACATATTGAATGGCTACTAGCTAAAAATGTTGAATAATTCTACACATATTGAATGGCTAATAGTCAAAAAATTAAAGGACATGAATAAAGTTTCAAATATTCTTCTACAAATTTAAAATTATGGATGTGGTTTTTTAAGTATCTAAAAATATATTAAAATGCAATTTTAATAAATAAATAAATAAAGACTTCTCTTGAGATTTTTAAATTTCAAAATAAATAATGCATTTTATTTATTTAAATGAAAAAAATAAGTCTAATAAGGCTTAATATAAGATAAAATAAAGAATATTAAAAAACCTCATCTTCCAACTCAGTTGGAGTGATGATAACATTAAAGCATGATGACAAGAAGATAAGAGATAATAAAATATAGGGGGAATTTACATTCATACCACCTAATTCTTGTGTATTTACATATCTACCACCAAAAATTATGCATATTTATAAATTTAACATTCCATATAAAAATTCATGCATGCACATGCCCAAACGACTCTAAAAATATCAGTTGAGATTTTATTACAAATAGATAAAAGGGGAATTTACATACATACCACCCAATTCTTATATATTTCATATCTAACGCCTAAACTTTATTTTTTTGCATTTATACCACCAATACTTTCAAATCACATAAAGAAAAAAAAAATCACTTTTTTATTTAAAATTGCAGTTAATTTCTATGATATGTAAGTGTTAAATATGTAATACATAGAAATTAAGTGGTATGTATATAAATCTTCCAATACAAAATTTGATTTGCATAAGTTGATAGGGGATAGTCATTTAGATATCAGTATCACCCATAAAACAAAATATTTATTGCAGAAACCATTTCTAAGGCTAAAAAGGAGTTAGTTGTTAAAAAATATATATTTACAAATTAACCACCCAGGAGATTTTTTTTGAAATACCGAACCGATGTATTTAAATTTCAAGCTATTGAGAATTTGATAAAATATGGGTAGGGATTTTTGCCAAAAATTTTGATAGACTGATAATAAGAGAGTGCTTGATTTGTAAATAACAATTTTCGGGTGGTTTGTATGTAAGAAAAATTATTAAATCACCAGTACGTACCTAGAGTTATGTGCGGAGTTCAACGAAATCACGCCACGTGGAAGTACATAAAAAAAAAAATCGACAGGTAATACAAGGGAATATTCTCTCTTGTGTTCTTCCATATTATTCAAGTGTTATTATATGTTATTAAGATGCTATTGTATTTTAGAAATATTCTCGTTGTTATAATAACACAATAACATATCAATAATACTTGAATAACACACAATAACACCTGAATAAAACACAATAACACATGAATAACACAGGAGGAAAATTCATGTGTTATCGGGCAAATTTTATTTTTTTTCCTATCACCGCCACGTGACGTGATTTCATCGAACTCCGCATGGAGTCCTGATGCAATATTTTCTCCTGTATGTAATTGTCCCTAAAGAACAAGAAAAAATATTCTACAGTTTCAACCTGATTAATGAATTATTTGGCTTGGTTTTATTGAAAAAGACTTTTAAATAAAATTCAGAAAAGAAGTTTGAAATCAAGAAATATAAACAAAAAGTTATATGCTCAATTACTCATCAGTTTGTTCGTATAGAACCAAACAGATGTGTGATTCCTGTGCAAGGTGGAGTTCTCAACAGATGCCGCCACCTGCTTCATTTACTGGTATTTTTGTAATTAATCTATTTATAAAGAACATTCATGTCCTAGTATAAATTACAAACAGTTTGCACAATTAGTATAATAATTAAGAAGGATTCAAAATTGAAATCCTTAAATGAGGACCAAATCAACCGAAGTTCAGAAATTAAGTTGTCTAATGACTAAAAATAAGTCAAAATCATTGACCTTTTTTTGATAAGGTTATAAAACTAAGATAATATTGAATAAAACATAACATTATAAATAATATTTGATCGGAATGAGTTTTTATCTATTCAATTTATGGGGCATTAACATTCATATCACCCAAACTCTAATATATTTACATATCTAGGAAAAATAATACATCAGGATTTCGAGCGTAGAGCAACGTTCGGATTGCAATAGTTAGGAATATACCGCTGTGTTATAAGAATATTTCATCTGCGTTATTTATAAAAAATGAAGTATTATTCAAATATTATAAGATGTTATTCGATTATTTTGCAGTGTTATTGAAATATTCATCTGCGCTAGTTGATTTAGGGTTGAACTGTTATTAGAATTTTCCCCCGCATTACTTGATTTAGGGCTGTGTTATTCTAGTAACATAGTAGAAATTGAAATAACACGAGAAATATGTCGAATAACACAACCTCAAATCAAGTAACGCGGATGAAAATTATAATAACACAGCAAAATAATCGAATAACATCATATAATACTCGAATAACACTTTATTTTTTATAAATAACACATATGAAATATTCCTGTAACACAACGTAATATTTCTAACTATTGCAATCGAAACGTAGCTCTACGTTCAGGGTCCTGACCTAATATTTTTTCACATATCTAACACCTAAACATTATTTTTTTCTTTTTATCCTTATACCACCCAAATCTTTCATATCACATCAAAAGTACCACTAGTGTAAATTTTAAAAAATGAAATACATCTTTCCTGCATAGAAAAGATGACATATATGTAAATTCAAAAAGAATCAAGTGGTATGTATGCAAATCTTCCTATATTATTTTGAAATGATTATGATATAAAATTTTATCCATCAAATCAATGAACTCTGCCCAATTTTGTTTTCCCACTTAAAGATAGGAGAAATATTTGTCTGCGTAAGTCTGGTTGGTTACAGGGAGGATATTGAGGGTTATATCCGTGTTATATCCCCTATAATCTCCCTGTCACCTACATGTAACTAGAAAGTTTCACGTTTTTGTTTTTATATATTTGTAGGTTACAAGGAGTATAATGCGGATATAACCCTTAATACGCTCCCTGTAACCTACCTGACGCACGCAGCGACGCACGCAGCGACGTACGCAAATATTTCTCTGCAGATGGAGTGATAATTCCTAGCAAAAGAAGGTTCTCAAGATGCTGGTTAGTCCACAAAGACAGACAAATTTGTAAATAAGAGTTTTGCAATGTAAATAATAATAATAATAATGAAGTAAAAATGATTGTAATGCAAGCCTTGGAAAAATGATAATTTTGATGGGAAATGAATTTATCACATACTTTAAAGTAGTGTTTGGATGCAAATAGGATTTAATTCTAAGGAGATTTAGTAAATCCCATAAATCCAGAATAAGTAATTAATGTATTACATAGTTAAATCTCTAAAACTATTTAAAAATATAATTTTGCCTCAGCACACCAGATGATTACTCTCGGAGATGAGGGGAAACTGCTACAGGAACTCGATGGCAATGGCGTCGATCGACATCCCTTGTATGGGTCTAAATGCCTTGGATTCGCAGAATTACAGGATTTAGAAAAATATGGATTTAGGCCAAAAAGGGAGGCAAAATGGGATTTAGAAATTTGTAGGATTTATTTTGGGGTTTTTTTGAAAGATTGATGGGATTTATTTATGTCAAACCCTGGTTAAATCTAACTAGCAATTACCAAACAGTCCTTAAATTCGATTTAAATTAGCAATTCAGGTCAGAAAAGTTAGATGAGCAAGAAATTCTAATATGTTCTGGTTTTAGAGCATGTTTCTTCAGATTTAAATGCATTTGATGCAAAAGCAAGCTCAGATTTTTCATGCCCTTATTTTATGTACAATAAAGAGCGTTTTAGTTTCCGATTAGGTTAAATAAGACTACCCATGAGTTCCAATTCATGGCCTCATGATGGTGAAGCGAGAAACAAAGAGCGAAAGAGAGAGGGGGAGAGAGAGAGAGAGAGAGAGAGAGGAGGGAGATTGTGGGAGGGATAGAGTATTACTGTACAAGAACAAGCCGATTAATGTCGCTGTCCATAAGATCGCCTCCCAATCCATCGTCCTCCACCTCGCGTTCAGAATCATCAGAATCCGGTCCCTTCGGAACAATAACGATGAGCTCTCCATCAGCATATTCCGCCGTAGCAAGCGATGGCCGAGTCTCCGGCGGCAGGCGGAACCTCCACCTGTCCAGCTCAAGATCCTCCACGTCCAGATCGTCGACGGAAACATCACCACTACCAGTTTCCGATTCCCTTATCACAATCTTCATAACCCCAGGATAGATCTGAATCGCGTGTGCACGCACGCCGCCATCGAACCCGGCAATAGCAGAAGCGACAAATCGGAAGCAATCAGGATCTTCAGCAACGGAAACATGAGCGTCGGCTCTGAAGGGAAGCTCGAGTACCTTGCTGAATATGTGGGGCAAGCGGCGGAGCTTCTTCTGCCGGCTACGAATCGCCTCAGCTTCAGAGAAGCTCGCGTTCACTCCATACCTGAATGTGATGCTCCTCTTCTTCGGCGCCGGATGAACTCTCATGGCTGTCTCCTGAAACCCTAGACAATTAATCACAAACGTCGATCTTCAATCTCAGAGCTGAATCGGAGACCTAGGATTGAAAACCACATCAATAAGCTGAATCTTACAAAAAATTAAGAAAAACAAACGGAAGGGTACGATCGCCGGAAACCCTAACCTCACCGGAGCTCTGAAGCTGTATATTCGTACAGCCGCAGTTCCGCCTAGCTTTTATCGTTAGAAAGATTTACAAACAGACCACCAACTTCTTATGTATTTACAGAACGAAAAATCTAAATATTTAATTGAAATTTTATTTGGGCATAAATATAAAATTTAATTTTATGTTTTAGATAAGGATTGAGTGATCTGCATGTAAAATGTATTATAATTATTATTACGAGGCATTATATTATTTTGATTTTTAAATTATGCGATTTACATTAATATTGCCTCATACGGCACGTAATTATTTTTAATTATTATGACATGAAAGTCTGGGAATGTAAGCTATGCACGAATCATTCACTTTTGTGAATTTTTTTTTTCTGCACTTTTAATATTAATATGATGTAATAGATTATAGAAATATCAGAAATATAAATATTATAATTGGGAATAGGTTGATATTCAAATAGTTCATATTAATGATTGATGAGTGCAAGAAAATTTTTGGTGTTAGAGTAATGGATTATCGTCTTACTGTTACACGAAAATTTAGTATATATTTCATGTGAAACAAAATAATCACTTATGACACTAGAGTTTTTTCATGTGGAAAAACTTTAAATGAAAAAAAATCATGGGGTCTGGCCCAGTTGTAAAAATTTACTATTTATTGATGATTAAATAACCCACTTGTCCCAAAAACTAGAAATTATTACTAGATTTTTCAGGTCATAATGTCGACTGACGGCGTCTGGTTAGTGGTGGTTGACGATGGTTGGTGGTGATCGACGGCTGTCGACAGTGGTCGGTGGTGGTTAACAATGACAGTAGTGCTTGACGGCTGTTTGTGGTTGTTGGCGGTGGTTGGTGGAGATCGATGGGTGTCGACGACAGTTGGTGGTGGTCGAGAACGGTCGGCGGTAGCGACGGAGGTCGGCGGTGGTCGACGAAGATTGGAGGTGGTCGACGAAGATTGGCGGTGGTTGACGGAGGTCGGCGTTGGTTGATGACAATCGGTGATGGTCGACAACAGTCGTCGACGATCGGCGATGGTAGGAATGGTTGTGGACTTCAGCTCCTTCTCGAAGCTTCAAGTTTTCTCTCAAGGCTCAAGCCTCATCCCTCATGAGAGGAGTAAGACTCTATTTATAGTGTTCTGAGTGCAATTAATGTTAAAATATGAACCACTTTGATCAGACGTTCTTGAGAGCTTCCTTCAATCAGACGGCTTTTGATAGACATTTAAGTGCCTTAACGATGTTATAATGGAGCAATCTTATGCTCGTTGGATTCGACTTGTCGAGACGCTCGATTCAACTATAATTTTGTCAGATTCGATATTTGTTTGACCTTCCAAATGTGTCCGGAAATCTTTCAAGAGTGATTTAATGACTTGATCTGGGCTTGATTTAACTCAGATTAGACTAATTTTTATATCATTGAGCCGGACAGTTTAACTATAAGTTTGCTGAAATTAAATTTCTTGATGAATTTTTGTCAAGATTTGAACTCTCATTGCCCAAAAAATTTTCTCGAGATTCGTGTAATCCCTCGAGATTCTTGTCGAATGAAGAGTTTTTTTGAAGATGTATCAATGATTAAATTAAACTGCAAAAAAAATTTAATAATCCTAAAATTTAAATATAAATATAATTTTTTATTTTTATTTTTTTTTCTTAAATTCATATTATGACTTGAAATGAAACATATTTGTTGATAATTAATTTTAAGAGTTCTTAAAATAATTACTGTTTTAAAATTTCAGTTCAAAATAAAAATAAACAACACATAAAAAATATAGTAGATAAATATAATTTTGAAAAATAAAGTAAAAATAAAACAATAAAATAAATTAATCCCAAATAAGTCTGTAACAAATTACATCATGTAATTTTTTTTTTTTTAATTTACTAAAACACTTCATTGTCATGCTATTAATTTCAGCATCAATTAAAGCTGTGATTAATAACTTATAATAAGTATGATTTGTGAGATACTTTTTTTTTAGGCAATGGATTTATATGTAATACAAAATAATATTTTGAGGAATGAAATAATGAATGATTTAATACTTAATTAAAGTGTGATTTGACATTTTAATGATAGGCATGCTATAGGACACAAAGAGCATGATCTTGGAATGTTTGGTATTGAAATTCAAGACCGAGGGCTCAATTTCAGCAAGTATATTGTCAAACTGACTGTCTCGACAACACGAATTCGATGATATAAAAATTGGTTCGATCTAAGTCCAATCAAGTATAGATCAAACAATTAAATCACGTTGAAGGTTTGGGTCATCAAGTGAATATTCAAGTGAACTCAAAGTCTAACATATTTATAGTCAAATTGAGTGTCTTAACGAGAGGAGTCCAACGTGTCTAATTTCGCTTAATTTAGATATCAGTAAAACCCTTAAATTATTGAAAAAATCCCTATGATCGACAAAGATCAATAAGAATTATCCTATCAGGTGGTTTAGGAAGTTATTCGCCAAAAGACAAAAATTCTTCCATCATAGATGCTATAAATAGACTCTTTCTCTTCACTTAAGGAGGGAGGAGAAAATAAGAAATTTCAGAGCATGTTCTTCACATAAAGCACAACAATAAATTTCGACTTTTGTAGTCGCTGACCACAACTAGGGTTGAGTCAAGTATATTAGTTTGAACTTAACTTCGCATAATTTTAAGTTGTTAATATTCGGTTTGAGCTTGTGTGAACCTTTCATATATTGTTCAAGTTTAAATTTTTCAATGTTTGAACTTGATTTTTAATTGATTTGTCTATGACAAGTGAACAGGTGTTTAACCAAGCTAATAAGCAAGCTAAAAATTTAAACGAGTATTTAGATTTTTATATAAAATAATCAATAAATAAATTTACAAATTTGATCGCACATACTAATTTATCGATTATAAACTCTATAAAAATGAAAGGTAACTCGTGAACCATGATAATATGAGATGTAATCACTTATATTTTAACATGATCATACTTCCAAGTTTGCACCGAACTCATTCAAATGTAAGTTTTTTCATAGTGATATGCATTTGTCTTATTCCTAATATTTTTGAGTAATTTTGTAGATGTCTTTTATATTGAGTCATTGAAATCATATATAAACTTACAATTATTGCACCATGCTTACTCAACACCCCTTTTTAAATGGGTATAATTTATAAGCAGGGTGGAAGAGAAGATACGAGAGACTAGAGTCTTAGAGATCATTGCACATGTGATCTGATCGTTTCCTTTGATGGTTACACGTCCTAGCAACTCGAGCTTTCGTGCAAAACCAGGAGATGCAAAACTTTAAGTGGTTAGAGAGAGTGAGATTTGTGGAGGTTTAAAGTTAATTTTAAGCAGCATTTCATACATGTCACATAAGTCTTATATATTTTCACATCTAACACCTGAACTTTACTCTAATAAATATATACTTAATAATTAATCAAAAAATATTTTTGATGTGACAATATATTACAATTATATCTATAATTAAATAAATTATAGTTAATTAAATTTTATTTAAATAATATATCATATATGATACAAGTTATCATCGAGTTTAATATCAAGTATTTAATGAGTTACTTGTTGAACAATAAATGAGTTTGTTCGTGAATATAAGTGAACTAGTTCGACTATGTTCATGTTTAGTTCATTTAACCTCTAGGCTTTTAAAAATTATTTAAGCCTGATTATTTACTTATCTGAATGAACATGTTCGGTCTTAATCGAGTGTATTGATTCATTTACAGACCTAAGCATAACTGGCCATCCATGTTCGTCGTCTTCGACGATCCATACTGGCTAACAATATATCAAAAGTATTGTTGTAACGTTTAGTGCGATGTTGAAAACCCGACAAAAATTCCCAACCTCCCTAGACACAGACCATCATTGGCCATCGTATGTCGGCTACCGCCAACCACCACCAACAACTCCTGCTCATCGTTATCAGCAACCCCTGCTTGCTATCGTCGTATTGAAGATGTAGCGGCCAATGCTTACGACCATTATATTCAGAACACGGCGATTCTTTTAGAATTCCTGAAGTTTTCTATATATTTTATACTGCCAAGTATTATATCCGATGGAAAATTGTAATCATTCTCTCCGAGTTGCGAGAGAATGGTACATATTTATACTTAAAGTGAATTATTTTGATTCACCTATGCCCAATTATTTTTTTCATTTTTCGAGTTTTTTTCCACTAATAAAACTCGATGTGTGTTGAATCACCGTGTAACACTAAAATATTAAATTATCACTCTGTGGTAATCAATCTTCTGAGCGACATCAATAATAATTCTACAGGTGCAAATCATTTATTAAAGGAGGTTAAAAATTAGTCAATGATATCAAACATTTCAATAAAGGATTTATTTTCATTTATTTACTAGAAAAAAATTATAAATAAAGCTACAGCGAAAAAAAAAATTAGCAATCTCAACTATATTAAACAGCGTATAAAATATATCAAAATTATATTAATTTGATTTTTTAAGTTAAATTTACATATTTAAAATCAGGAAAAGATTAACTACAAGTACAAAGTACTTATTTTATCAAACGAGCCGATTAATGCACATAATAAAGTATAAATACTTAATTAAGATAAGAAAGTTTAGTTTAATAAAAAATATAAATATTAATTTTAAAAAGTAATTATAAATGTAAAAAAAAAATTGTTAAAAATGAATTTATTTTTTCTGTTTTTTTTTATTAAATAAATAAATGGCTGTTTTAACTTTTTTAAAAAAGAAAAAATATTTTGAAGTAAAACAATAAAATTAAAATTTAGAAATGATCCGAGTACATATCACAATGTTAGGTAAGAAGTCACTATTAACAAATTTGGCAACATTCAAAATGAAAACCTTGAAAATAAATATATATTAAAAAAATATAGTAAGGCATTAATTAGAAATAATTAATTGATAATAAATTTAGAGATCACTTTTAATTTTTATTTATTTGTTTTTTATTTATAATTTTAAAAAAGAACGTATTTGACATATTTAATATAGGATTATTTTTAAAATTACTCAAAATATTTAAAATATTTTCAAAAATATGTTAATTTATTTTTAAAAATACAAAATATATATTAAAAGAGCACATTAAATAAATATATTTTAGAATTTAAATTTAAATAAAAAATAAAATTGACGCTAAACAATAAAAAAAATTGGGCGTGCATCAAAATAAAAAAAAAAACTCAGCCACTCATCAGACAAAGAGATAAAATTTTTATTTAAAATTTAGAAATTAAATAAGAAAAAAAATAATCCTTGGAAGCCACAAATAAATGTTTATGAATTATTATTTGTGCTCTAAAAAAATCATGATAAATTTATACTTTCTCGATAACTAACCTTCATTTATAATTGCTTTTTTAAGCTATTTTATTTAACCAGCTTCGAACCCTCGTGGAGCGGTGGTCCTCGAATAATAACACATGGCACAAATTTCTCACCGTAGGCCCTACCGCATAAGGGAGCCAAATACCGATTCTTTATATATATATATATATACTATATATAATTTTGTTCACGCACACATACACACTTGAACCTAAAATCTCTTAGGATTCGTTAGGGGCAACGGTGCGGTGGCGGTGCGGTACCACACAACAGTTTTGTTTGTTCGGATAAACTGTTTTTGATTAGCTCTTTCAAAAAGCTACCACTTAAATCTATCTTTTCTCAGCATTATTGGCTAGGTCAGGTGACAGCTTTTTAGCTGTTGCCTGACTTTAAATAAAAAATAATAGCTATCACAATTTTTTTAACATCAAATTACATTTCACAACTGTTTTTTAATAAGTTGCAGTTGTCCCAAACAAATCTTTATTAAAAAACAGTTCTTAATCACGAGATTAAGATACTTGTATAACAAATGCCCTTATTTGATAATAAACATATTTATGCGTATAAGTTCATATATTTCTTCACTTGTTTAAACTTATATGTGTGCATGGATACATAACTATTATGCACTCATATTTTCATGGATTAGATTTCTAAATCTCCTACACATTCATTGCCACATAAATTTTTGAGAGATTTACATGCATATCACTCAATTCTTATTTATTTACATATCTAACATATAAATTTTGATTTTTATATGGGCCACCTTATCTATATATGAAAAAATGTATTTCACTTTTTTTTAGAAAATTCAAATAATTTTATTGTTAATGTAATATGGAAGATTTGAGTGTTAGAAATGTAAAAAAAAAAATTTAGGCATTAGATATCTGATTACATAAGAATTGGGTGGAATGTATGTAAATGCCCCTAAATTTTTATTTCATTTACTTGCATAAAATTGGCACATTTACACCCCTCAAGATCATACATTCAACAATTCAAAAGAAAATTAAAAAATCATAAAAATAACCATTGATAATTAACAAGACTACTAAGCTCTTTTATTAAACTGAAGTTCTTCATCCAGTTTTTGCAAAACTACTAAAAAAATTGCTAAAAAAGAATTGCTTAGGTTTTAGATCCCAACCCTAAAAGTGTAACAAATTCAGCAATCAAAATAAGGAGAGGCTATGATTATGAAGGCTAATCTAAAGAAGCAATCTGTTCCAGCATAGTCAGATTATTCAGTTCTGTAAAGAGTTCAGCTAACCTTCTGTTGAATGGGAATGTGTTTCAGTATGGTGGTCGCGGTGGTGCCGGCGAGCTGTCCTATGGGCACGTCGCCGACTTCTCGGGTTTTCCGCACCATCAGCACGAATTTGCTCGCTCGGTTCTTGATTGCCAAAGATGATGAATTCCAGTGGGTCTGCAAGGAGATCTTCGCCCGGATTGCTTTGGGATGTATTTGCATTACTTGGATTTCTCTGTAGTGCATTTACGTGAAGAACATCAACAATGGAATGTAAATGTATACTTAGAGAATTAGTGCACTCGATAAATAATTCGATACTCGTTCAAGAGGGGTTTAAATAATCGAACAAGATAAAACAAAATTTTAAAATCTAAGCATGTAAAGAAATGAGCCTAAACAATGACATTCATTTATGATCGTAAACATGCTTGTTTGTTGTTCAACAGGTAACTCACTAAGAATTCAATAAAATGCTCATTTAATGATGATTTACATTTTTTTTTTATTTGATGATTTATTTCAAGTTCTCATATCAACTTTTTAAGTCATGTGCTCTTTAAAATTTGTGTATATTATTTAAGATATAGGTATATGATACAAATAACAAACAAATAGATAAATATATAAAATTGCTTCTGTGTTTTACAGCTATTTGAGCTTAACTAAATTAAATAAATAATATTTAATAAATTATATCAATATTAAATAAAACTCATAAATTTATTTATGTCTGGAAATAAGCACATATGTTTAAATTATTAGCACGAACCATATAACTATATGTACATGAGTACGGCTTGAACTCAGACAAAAAAGAAAACGGATAAATAAGCTTGAGCAAGATTTTAAAACTCGTCTTATCTCCTACTTTGACTTGAATAAGATAAGGAAATAAATTAAAAGTTTGAACGCGGTGTTACTCATCTAGACTCGATTCAATTATAGCCCCTACGTATGTTATAACCCGACAAAAGTGCAATATCAAGATTGCATTTTTACCTTTGATTGACTAGTCGACTGTGTTTTGGCATCTACATCATCGCAGCTGCCATCATTGTCTTCCGTTCGCCCGGAAGCGGTTTGATCTTCATAGGCATTCCTTGCCCTCAACCTTATGAGGGGCTCATCTGGTTTTAGATCAGTAAATACTACCTCTGGATAAAAATACTTGTGTACCAGCTGCATTCTTGAAGGGCTTTCTCTATGCTTCCATAATATACTATCATGAAATTGCATGTTAAAACATGCAAAATATGGGCAGCAATGAATTTCTGTTCACATTCATGTAAAAAGATGCTTACAGGAAAACAAACAAATTCACTCAAAAATAAAAATAAAAATAAAAAATTGAGGATGAGAAATTACATATTTGCCAATTCTCTTTGCATTCTACTACCTTCAATGCTTAATATGTGTTCAAGGCATGAATTTGCAGACCTATCAATCAGCAGCCTTCCTATGAGCATGGCTGAACCTTTAACATGCAGATTACATAATATTAAAAAAAAAAAGATAAACACCAGAAGCAAGGTAGAAGTGAATAATTTTAGGAGTAAAGTGCCAAAATAATTCCTTGACTATGTAAATAGGCCCATTTTAATCCTAGAGTTTATAAAAGTATCAAATTAGTTCTTAGAATCTTTTAATAAGAGTTAAAATAGTCCTCAGTAAGAACTATTTCAACAAATATTAAAGGCCTCTGGAGACTAAATTGATATTTTCATAAACTCTAGGACTAAAATGACCTTGCAACGAATTAGGGGACCATTTTAACACTTCTCCCATAATTTTAGTAATGAAAATGTTAATTTGTTACTTAATAGTGTGAATATGAACCTGACAGGTGCTTACACGTACGAAATGTATGAACGCGTGTATTAAGCTACCTAACCCAGAAAATAATAACTTTTTGTGCTTACTCAATCGCTACGTTATAACAATTGTTGCGAAAATCATGTCCTTTTTTTATGCAAAGTTGAATATAAAAAGTGCAACCTTGTATAAAGTGACTTAAGTTATATGGGGCATTTTCCTCCACTTATGAGGACAATGATATTCTATTTAATTTCTAAATGTAAACTCGAACATATATATAAATGGGTTAGTTATGCATAATCCCAACTTTTTACATATGTTTTTTGAAACAAACTTCATCTCATATTTCAAAAAACCATGCAAGTTGCTTGAAGCCTATAAAATACTTTAAGTTATTTAAGCATATAAAATCATACCCACATGTGCTTCAACCAATATAAAATGTTCAAATATTAGTTTTGAGAATATTGTGGTTAACTTCAAATAATGTTTAAAATACCTACATATGCTCCAGTAAATCTACTAAGTGTTTAATATTAAATGGTCTGAGAATGATATACAGGTCAAAGTTAAACTTGCACTCAAATATTTTTTTGCTCTGATAAGCGTGCAAAATTCTTTAAGAGAATTTATGATTATTTTAAAATTAAAACCCCTCATTTTTCAAAAAATCTACTTCAAGATAATCAAATCATGTATGTTTTCAATCGGGTCATCTTGTCTATAAAGTAATGTTGAAAATCCTACTCAATTAGTCTAATCCTCCTCCTAGAAATTGGAGTTGACACGTGTAAAAAATTTCAATAATGTCTAAATCACATATAGTAAAACTTGTAAGTCCAAATCATATAATATGATCCTCCACTTAAGAGCTGGTGTTGACAAAACCTAACATTTTATAGATATTCAAGTACCAAATTTCAAACATAGATATTTCAAATGCTTGAATTCTACGATGATGGCAAAGTTGAAAGAATAATTCCACTGTAGAGATCTATTTTCCAATTTAGCTCAAAGGACATTTAAATAAAGTCAATTGATTTAGGTTATGAACCTAATCCTCTGTAAGCACAATAGAGTTATCTAACACCTAGATATTCACATTTACATGCATACCATTCAAATCTTCAAAATTACATGTTTGGTTCTAGCATGTTGCAACGGGTTGTTGGTAATGTTGGTTGTTGACTTGTTGTCACACCACAACTTCAATTGAGTTCCTTGGCCCACCTTAAGATTGACCAACAAGGCTCTCAGCCACATCATCTCAGCAACTCCTAAGGCCATGACCCAGTACTCAACCTCTGTTGTTGACCTCACTATTAAAGACTATTTATTGCTCTTCTAAGAGACCAAGTTGCACCCTACGAACATGCAATATCCTAAGGTAGATCTTTTGTCATCTACACAACTCGTCTGGTCAACATCACAAAAGTCCTCAATATCTACATGTCAATTTTTCCTAAAGATCAACCCCTTCGTTGGTGCACCTTCAGGTACCTCAATATCTGATACATTGCACTCATATGATCATTCCTTGAACCATGCATGTAGCAACTCGCCATGCTCAATACAAAAAAGATGACAGGTCGGGTGCCACAGATGGATCAAATGATCCAGTAATCTCTGGTACCTCTCATGATCAACCGGTTCTCCTACCTCTACACTCAGTTTGGCCTTTTGGTCAATTGGAGAGACTGCAGATTCGTATCCCAACATGCTTATTTCCGTGAGGAGATTTAGTACAAAATTTCTCTAGGGCTGGATCATCCCCTCAAGTCCACGAGTCACTTCAATCCCAAGAAAGTATCTGAGTTGTCCAAGATCATTCACCTTAAATTCATTGTCCAATCTTACCTTTAATTGGATAATTTTTACCTCATTATCACCGATGACAATAATGTCATCAACATACATAAGCATAGTGGTGTGACATTCATATTGTCGAAAGAACATTGTATAGTCTGCATTAATCTGTTGAAATCCCATGCTCAACATAGCTTTTCTTAACTTGTCAAACCAGGCTCGAAGAGACTGTTTCAAAACATATAGTGAATTCTTGAGCCCACACACCTTGAACATTGCCTGGGTTGTACCAAATTCTGGAGGTATCTTCATATATACATCCTTCAGTAACTCACAATGAAAAAATGCATTCTTCACATCAAGTTGATGTAACCTCCACCCACCATTCACTGTCAGAGAAATCAGTGTTCTCACTGTGCCATATTTGCTACTGGTGCAAAAGTTTCATCATAATCAATATCATATGCTACCTATACCCTTTCACAACACGTCATGCTTTGTACTATTTTACCTTCCCCTATGGAGTTTGCTTCACTGTGAAGTTTCACTTGCACCCAACTGCCTTTTTTTCCCTCGGGTAGTGGCACTATCTCCCATGTTTGGTTTTTATCGAGAGTCCTACGCTCTTCATGCAGTGTCATTTTCCACTTGAAATCTTCCTTAGCAACCTGTCAACACTTGGGTATAGAGACAGTGTCCAAAGATGCAATGAATGTTTCATATAATGGTGATATGTTAGAATATGAAATAACGTTAGCAATGTTGTTCCCACTCAAAATGATCGGAAGGATGCCCCGCATTGTTGCAAAGAGGTTCTCCTTAAGGTGGAGGGTTAGGAGAAGGAAGAATCATATCACCTAGGAATTCTGAATCAAAAGGTGGATGGTACAAGTGTTTCAAGAGTCGGGGAAGACCGGGACAAGGGACTAGCTGAAACAAGTGGCATTGCAGACACTATTTCTTCATTTTGCTTCCTTCTTTGTGTATACACCTTAGCTCGTTTTCAGCTTAAATCCCACCACCTCTGGGTTTACTCTCCTCTTTTTTTGATTCATCGACCAATTCATCCCACATCACAGGACAAGACATTGCTCTCATGTTTACCACTTTCTCTCCATTGCTACTCACCTCCTTTGTCTCATATCTCCAGTATTCGACGAGTTGCCAAAGGGTGAGGCCACCTTATGAGTGCAGTACGGTTCAAATTCTCTAAATGACACATTCATGCTCACAAACAGTCTCTTCTCTATCGAGCTCCGACATACATATCATTTCTAGGTAGTTTATCTATAATCACACCTTTCACAGCTCTGAGATTCAGTTTCCCTGCTGATGGTCGGTTATCCTTCACAAAACAAACACAACAAAACACATTCAATGGGAGGATCCAACTAATATCTTCTTTCAACATCTGACATATAGGCATCCAATCCAACACGTTAGAGAACATCATGTTAATTAATTGAGCAACTGCCAAATATGTTTGCCCTCATAAATGCTATGAGACATCCATTGAGATCATCATACTTTGTGCTACCTCTAGAAGGTGTTTATTCTTCCTTTCAGCTACTCGATTTTGTGTTTGTGTGCATTGATATGTGGTTTAATATTGTATCCCTTGGGCTTTCAAGTATTCCTCAAATGCTTTGTCCGTATACTGTCTCATTATCAGAGCTTAATACATTCACTACTGCATCATATTGAGTTTGGATTGCCTTGTGAAAGTATTTAAAGCAAGAAAACACATCACCCTTACTTTCATCAAATTTAACCACGTAACACGAAAAAAGAAATCAATAAAGGTCACAAAATATCGATAAACATTCATAAAACTTGCAGAACAACGCCCCCAAATATCAGCATGTATAAGTTAAAAACAAAAAAAAAACTCTTATTCTAGAATTAATATAAGAGCTCCCACTAAACTTGCAATACTCACAAACATCACAAACAAGCTTTTGTATATTTTTTTCTTTTCATAGAAGGAATGATACAGCCGACACAATAAACTAAAACGAGAGTATTCCATATGTCTGTGATATAACAACAACACATCATCCACACTCCTCTCAGATCCTCCTACTCCAGCACTCTATTATGGATGTCAAAGATAAGTTCATCCCCTCCCGGTCCAAGTATCAGAGTCCGCTACGCCACATTCCAGTCCCAAGTATCCAGCCCGTTTCTTTCTCTTAGAAGATTGCCTTAAGAATATTAAAAAAACAATAACTTTTAGTTGGATAATAAATGCAGTAATGAATAAAAGATTCACTAGAAAAAAATGAGCAAGCAAAACATTGGATAAAGTCATATAATTGGCACCCCTCACTGTACCCTTACCTACTACAGGTTGTGTTTGTAGTATCAATAGTCTTAATACTCTCTAGTACTATTAGGGGAGTATAAGAAAAAAACTCTCTAGCAGTACCTGTCATATATCGAGATGCACCAAAATCTACCATCCATTCTGATGATTCTGCGATAGAAATAAAAGCAAGACATATAAATCATAAGTACATTTGTTAGAGTGAGCAAAGTGACAATGTTACCCCTTGATGACAACTGGTTGGAAGCATACTTAGCCCCATCTCCTGTTGTTTTCTGCTTTCTTTTCAGCAACTCTAGACATTCATGGTCGTCATTGTAAAAACCACCCATCTCTCTCTCTTCTATTGCCATCAGATTAGCCTGGTAGCCCCCTTTTCCACATTTTCAGCCATTACGACAACGACCACGATCTCCACCATATCCACGTCTAAGGGTGTAAACTAGTCGAACTCATGCGAGCCCAGACTCGGCTCGTTTATATTTCGAGCTCAAAAAGTGAGTTCATATTCGGCTCGTTTGCTTAGCGAGCCGAACACGAGCCGCTCACGAACAAAGAGTCATTTTGACAACTATAATCACATAGTCATAAGATGTCAAGGATTGAGACAAAATTTAAAACATCATTTGAATCGAATATAATAATTTTTATTCTATTTTCTTAATTAATACTTTTAATTGATTATAAATGTTTGTAGTCTTGTAGTCAATTATTTTTTAAAAAAATACTACTCATCAAAGATTATATATACATAATTGATTAGTAATATTTTAAGTCAAAACGAGCCGAACTCTAATGAACAAATATTTGTTCGTGTTCGGCTCGTTAACTTTGCAAACGAGCCGAACCAGAGCTTCTTAACCGAGCTGTTCGCGAACAACAAGCCGTTTTGACAGTCCTATCCACGTCCACATATTTCTCTTCACCACAGTTGCAACACTTATGAATCTCCCCCTAGACACTTATTAGACTTGAGCCCGAAGCAACCAAAGGAGATCACGCACTCAGAAGTCCACTCGGCTTAGAGTATAGCTTCATGAGACTCTCCTCCTATATCATCATAGCAATGGCCTCATCCAGTAAAGGGATAGTCGCCTGAGTTAGGAGGATAAATCTCATATAATTAAATGATTAGTTCATAGGGGCCAGAAACTGCATAGTCCTCATCTGTGTAAAAATCTCCCCTTTATTGTACTCTGGATTGCCATAACTCGATATCGGTGAGAAGTGATCAAGATCTGCCCACAACCGCTCCAGCTCTATGGAGTACACTTGAATCGATCGATCACCTTGTACTACTGCCTCTATGTCACGTTGAATCTGGAACACCGTCGTGTGGTTCTCAGTCCCAACATAGGTCCTCTTCAACTTTGGCCAGATGTCTTCACCTCGAATGTCATCCATTGATGCGACAATCGATGGAAACATCAAGTTGAGAAACCAGATGTAAAGGCATGTGTAATCCTCCACTCATCCTCATCAACAGTGTCACCCTCTGGCTCAGCCTTGAGTCCTGTCAGATATGCCTCTAATCTCTTCCCTATTAGAGCAGTTTCGATCCGACATGACCAACTCAGATAAGTGACCGGTCAATCAAATTTATGATATATAGAAAGGAGATTTAGCTTCACCTGCGTCGGAGCAAGTGTCGAGGTAGTGTCTCTCGTGGAGACGTTAGCTCCATGCATGAGTCTGATCAATACGTTCAAACCCTCAAGATCAATCTTCCCTAGAAGTTTCAATCATTTAGTCTCTACACCATCTCCTTCTCCGGACATCCTTAATCACAAGGATCCAAATCCCGATCACATGCAACTTCCTTCTTGTACTCAGACAATTTCCATGTCGTTCTGCCGAAGCCTAAAGAGTCGAAGTTTCGCCTGTTACTTGTTGTCTCGATCGCACAAATCAATTCGCCAAAGCCTACACGCTCGCAAACTAGCCCACAGCTTCAATGTCATGCTCCTTTCTTTGGTCAGCCTCCCCCTACTCCATCTACTATCGCACAAGAGCCTTAACCGCACGTATGCCAAAGATCCTTCCTCAGTTTCACGAGCCCAACTCAACCAAAGTTGGAATCATTTCGCCTCCTCACACCGAATCAAAGTCATATGCACTCCTTATGTCGCAAGACTAACATGAAATCATAGATTATCTCACTTATGTGTCAAAGTTGATTCACTACTCACCATTCCACACCCCTGCCTCACAAGCGATCCCACTCTTTCTTGCCTGAAGCTGTTGTTCGCTCCTTCGCACCGACCCAACCTCTCCCCACTCTCCCCACAACGAAGCCATAATTCCCTTGCAATACAATAAGGATTAATGTTAGTAGGAAAAGCGACTCTGAGATCGCAACGTACAGAGACCATAGTAATTGCTCTAAAACTTAATATATACATTCATAACATGGGCTTAAATATGTTATTACAATACTTTACAAATAAACCCCTTAATTTCTTTAATATTCCTTTTTAACCAATAGAACCCCTAAGTAAATTCTAATTTTCAACAACAGTCGATAAGATTCCAGATTACATAAATCCCTAATGAAAACCATATTGATTGAAAATCTCAACCAAATGAGTCATATTTTAAATATAATTTTCAAATAAAATTATCAAAGCATCAAATTAATCACTTAAATAAAATTAAACGCTTAAAGACTTAAAGTCAATCTCATCCACCCTTCACAACAATTTATCGGGATGACAAACTTTTGATTGACTTTAACTCACAAATAGTTAATGCAACGTTGAGTACACCACTATATCCACACTTAAAGTAATATAACACAGTAAAGACGTGACCCAAGTTTTTTGTCTGTGTGATTTAGCCAAACGACTTCACAAAAAATTGTTGTTACACCAGAGACTTATAACCAAATGATTGCCGCCAAATGAAATAATTATATTACAGTCAAGATTGTAACCCGTATATTCCCCAATGACTTTCTATCATCGAGTTGTGAATTATAATGGTACAATTGGTTGACACAATTTTTTGTTAGCTAAAGTCAACTTAAATTTGTCCCCTTAAACAAATATTCACCTCAGATCTACAAGTTCTCTTGGACGATGCAAAAGATGGTTGATTTAAAGAAACCTTTAGTCAAGTTGAGTAAATTAACTCCTCTTACAAAGTACATGAGGGACCATGACGACCTCAGACGACAAAATGATGAGATTTTGATTGGGTTTGTCATCATTTCTCCCATTATTCACTTTAAGCTTAAAATGATAAAGTAATCAATCTAAAACCTTAAGTTTGTTGTTACTATACGTTGAATATTCAATGTTTACTGACTAGTCTTAATAAAAAGTGTTCTGCTGTTACGGAATGGGTAATTAATCATAAAGACTTGTGCCTATGGGAAACCCTGAACCCAATATTAAAAAGTCTTTCTAAAATGAGGGTGAAATTTATGGGTAGTGTCTTATTTACAATCCAATCTGCCTTCTAAAAACTTACTCAGAATACCAAATAAAAAAGTACTCAACAACAATGAGAATTTGGGCTGTCGAATTTTCAGAGCCAACAATATAAAAGGCGACACGTAAAAGATCATTTGCGTCATGATCATCATTAGCCTTGTTCAAATTATTCTAACTAGAATATAATAATTGCCTCTCTATTAAATTTGGCTCATGCAAATCATTAATCATAATCAATTGAAAGAAAAAAATAAATAATTTACTCCTAGAAAAATGTATGCTTAAAATCAAACTTTGGATTAGAACAACATTTCTTTTTCTTAGAGGACAAAAGTTACTCTCAAAATGTTTGCGCATTATTTGATGTGGATTGTGAAAGCAACAATCATGTGATAACAGAATATTCTACATAGAAAGAGCATAGAATCAGATTCATCTATTAATAGGATTGAAAAAAGACAGTGCGCATGTTGATGCAGCAGAACATGCAACTGTCTTCATCGTATTTGTACATATTCTTCACTTCCCATTGTTCTCTTATCTTGAGATTCAAAATGCGTTTATTCTATTACCTGCTGAAAGGTAGAAGCGGTACCAACGCCCAAGTCTTCTAGTTGCTGCAGGTTTTGAAATGGCATGATTCATCAAATAAAAACTTTATAAAAAAGTTGGTGCAGCAGAAGATAAAACTGAAATTGAACATCAATGTTAAGAATAACGTGCAAATGTTAAAGCAACAAAATAACAAAATCAACATAATGTTTTATGTTATTATACCAATAATAGGGAAAACCCTGCTGCATGCTACCGCTGGAATAGAATCACATTCTCACATTTTCATACCTAAAAAAAAAAAACAATCAACATTACTGAGTTGTACCTAGGGCTGTAAACGAGCAGAACTTGAGCGAGCTCAAGCATAGATCGTGTTCGGCTCGTTCGAAACTAGCTCGTGTCGGAAATTAGCTTGTGTTGGAAATTGCTCGTGATCAGCATGTTCATGTTCAACTCGATTTACATTTTTTTGTTCGTGTTCAACTCGTATTAGGCTCGAAATTAGCTCGTTTAAATTAAGCCTATAAACAAATCAAACATGGCGAAGCCCACAACCTATTCATTTTACCTTATTTTATGTTACCCCCTCACAAGCAACTACAAAAAATTATAAACTTAATAATTTAAATTATTTTTATTTAACTACTTAGATAATTAATTTTGCAGAAAGAAAGAAATTTCATATAGAAATTCCTGTGTGCAAAGATTTGATAATTGATGGTTGCCAAAACCCATGCTAAGTTTTCCTTTTATAAAGGCATACAAAAGTTTTCAAGTAAAAAAATCCTGATGCGGGACTAAAGTTGGTTAGGAGAATTTTCCTCATACCACTATGTAGCATGTACAATAGAAATTCTTTTTTAGATCTGATTCCCCATGTGAGTTGTTAAAGAATACTTTTTAAATGTGTGGCTATGAATTTTTACGGTTATTTACATCCATACTACACAAATCATATTCATTCACATATCTAACACATAAATTAATATTTTTTTTTAAATATACCACCCAAATAATTTTTTTTTAAATTAGCATTTATTTAATATATAATAAAAACTAACATTTTTATTTAATTATTTAAAAATCTCGAGTAAAAATTAGTATTTGTTTATATATTTTTGCTTTCGAGTTAATTCAAGCCGAACACGAGTGAACAAATATTTTTTCGTGTTCGACTTGTTTACATTTTGTGCTTAAAAATTTGTTCATGTTCGGCTCATTCGTTAAGCCTAACGAGCCGAACACGAGTTATTTTACGAGCCAAACATGAGCTATTTTTCGTGTTCGAGAACGACGAGCCATTTTGACAGCCCTAGATGTACCTATAAGAGAGAGATTGTGAGAGAAAAGAGAAATGAGAGATAGCTAGCATTTGGTAGCTATAGTGACTAAAATTTTTTACTAGTATAAGAACATGCAAAATTTTATAAATTAAATTGGTCTACAACACAAAGCGGTTCATAGCACAAAATCATCCTAAGGTGGTGTTTTGTAGCATCCTCTTAATAGGATTTAGTCACGAATTTAACTTAAATTCAACCGAACATACAAAAAATGAAAATTAAATCCAAAGCTCCATTAAATCAATTTTTCGCGTGTTTCGTCTTTTTTATTCTCATGTTTCGTCTGTTTTACGATGAAAATCCGAATTTAGTAAATCCAATTATGAGACGGATTTATTTTGCATCGTTGGCGAGCTCCTCAATCTGCGATTGAATTTGGCAAATCTGGATTTATCAGAATTGATAAATCCTATTGAACTTAAATCTATATTAAAGCCAAACACCACCTAAGTATGATATATCAAGCATGTGTGTTAACTGTGATTCTGTCCATCGTGATGATATATTCCCATCAATTGGATTTCTCTCCCGGCAATTGACATACTTTTTATCTCTATAGAACATTTAAGAACTATCCAACAAACCTTAAAGTTCCATTATTTTGATATTGTATTTATATCAATAATATGTTCCTCACTTCCTCTAACTATCATCAACTCATTTCTCATTTAGGCACAGCAAACTAGAGTAAATACTTCTAAAACTCTTGCTTATAGGCCCATCGCCTCACAGAAATTACAATTCCATGATGTGAAAATATAATCCTGTCAGTCAAATTCCTTATATTATGACCTATTCAAGGCGACTTTTGAAACATACTTTCTACTTGATAGAACGACCGTTATGCTTCCACACTAGAAATTAGCATAAGCTTTAGCAGAACAAAATATATTGCAGAAGACTATCAAAGAAGATCTGCAAGTTATAAGGTCAAATGAGAAAAATATATATAATTTAAAAGACACTGATGTTAAGATTCTCAAAAACACTTTGAATATCATAATCCTTATCAAAAGAAGAAACCTTCTAAGAAACAGCCCAGATGGTTTTATGAAAATAACAGCATAATTTAAGGAAAAAATCCTTGGTATCTGTAAAAATTCACTCATAGTAAGATATGTCATCATAACAGTGCCTAAAATCATCGTGATGTAGATTTATTAATGACGCTCTCATAGGATACACAGCATGCATCATCTTCATGAGCAGAGTCATCTAATCATGCGCTTCACAATATTTTTTGTTCAGCAAATTTTATGCGGTGGTTCAGAAAGTTAGATTATTGTTAAAAGGCAAGAAAGAAAGGGTGTTTACTAAATCTAACAATATAAACTAAAATCAGAAATTTCATAAGTGAAAGTGCATGAATACCTAAATATTTGGCAAAAACTGAAACGCAAATGAAATTATAATCCTGTTAGTATTGAAAAATAAAAAGTTTGTAAAGAATATACTAAATGAAATGCTAATGAGGATGTTATCTAACCCAATCTACAAGCAAAAAAATATGCGAGTGTTGACCTCATTTTTGTGAGGTCTTGTCTTCTCCTCCTTAGAGCCTAGATTCTAGCTCTAGAAATTCCTATGGACTATCTTAGAAAACTAGAATTGAGACTCACCCTTCTAGAAATTTCAGCCAATTCCTATTTTCCTTTGATGTCTAGCATCTTTGGCACAAGACCATCGTCTTATGAACGAGCGGTTATGGGCTATGTTGCGTAGATTCAAAGAAAATGTTCCAAATAGGACTTCAAGCCTTAGGAAAACATTCGTCACGACTTTTTCGTCACGTACACACACAAAATACACGAAGTTCACGAAATTGCGCGAAATCAGACTTCAATTAAGCCCAAAGGACGGGTGAAAACGCGAACTTCTCTGGATGACCTCCGACAACAAATTGGACTGCGCCAACGCGTCCGGGATACCAATTTTGGTAGGAAAGGACACCCATATTGC